ATCATTCTCCTCTCCCCCGTATGATCCGCACAACTCACCTATGAGGTATGTTAAGGCTGAAAGTGTGTGAATGGTCCATAATCCCCCAGGCAGCTTTTAAAACATGAACCTGGGACCTGCACACCATCCTCTGAAGCGCTCTCAGGTACATATCTGTGGCAGTAATGGGGTGACTGCTGGCACCTTTTCCTATCATTTTTTCCCTTGTGGTATTCTGCTTGTGGTGTGATCTGTCTGTTTTGTGGTGTGGCATGATTGTGTTATTGGGTTTGTTTCTGTTGAAGGGGAAGTGATGTGTTGTGAGTGAGGACACATTTTACCTCAGAATACAGCAGGTCCCATATGCAACGGAGAGTCCCAACTGTCTTGTGGGAGGGGGGAGTTTGAGGTGTGGAATGGAGTGAAGTCCAATCAGCTTCCATATGCAAATGACCTTGAAACGCTGGCCCAATCAGAGAAGAGTGGGCTGAAGCAACCCAGCCGTAGAAGCCCCTTCCCTGTGCTCAGTCTGCAGATGGTCCTCTCCAGTCAGAGGCCCAGAGCAGACTGAGCTGAACATTCTGCCCGGGGCTGACGTGGGCGGGACTACACAAAGCAGCCAGGCAACCCAGCCAGCGTCTTCTGACTGACAGTTTAAGCCTCCAAACACTGTTGGTGTGAATTGGAACGTTCGGCCCCACTATGGCTTTATATATAAGGGAGAGATGAGGCAAAAGGCTAAACAAATGCAATCCGAGTGCGGGCGGGCGGGAATTCTCCCGGCGGGAGGTTACATAATAAGCGGGAGAGTCTCAGTGCCCCATGAGGTCCGAAAAATTCACACCTTAGGTGGAACACAAGCCCTCCCCCCGTCACAAGGTCAGACAGATAACTCAGTCTGGCAGCACTGGTTCTCACGGTCTCCCTATCTCTGTTTACGGCAAGCGGCAGAGCAGCGAGCAAGCTATGAGGCATGCACCGTAGCGCCAGGATCAGAGAAGGGAACAAGCAAAACATGGCAGCTAGCTGACATCCTGCCCCCTCAAAAACACATCAACCACCTCCAGGCCCAGATGGTATTACTGCAGAAGTCTATCAAAAACTGGAAGAAGAATTAACGCCTTTGTAGTAGTAGCTTTCATGTGCAGGCACACGTCTTGAATGAACTTTTTTTGGTCTTAAGGGTGCCGCTGGAGTCAAAATTTGTTCTCAAAGGTTTGGTTCTCCTGCAAGAAGCACTCACACTAAAGGCAATATTTCTCTTTCTCTCTCCCCACTGCTGGCTGACAGGCTTGAACCTCATTGCCTTTATCTGCATAGTCTATGCATACGCACACATGTTCTACTCGATCCACACCACTGCAGCCAGGACAGCGGAGTCTAACGTTTTCTGCATGGATGTGACCATTGCCAAGAGGTTCTTCTTCATTGTCTCCACCAACGCCCTCTGCTGGATCCCCATATTTGTCCTGAAGCTTCTTTCCTTGCTCAGCGTGGACATCCCAGGTAGCTGCCTTGGCTTGCCAATGGCACCCAGGAACACGGTTTCCAAGAGATAACACGCCACTGTGATGCTGCCACATGTGGGATTCAGTGACCAGAACTGTGCACGTGTATTTCCAAACATTCATTGCAGTATGCCCCCTACCCTTACACTGGTACTCCTTAAAGACAGTTTTTCCCATATGAGAAGAAATCGTAAAAAGGTCTCCAAATACCAAACAATGGAAGCAGACATAATTAAAGAAATGACAGGTATCCAGTTAACCTCTGATCTGCAGGTATTACTTTTAAATGTTACAAAGTCTGGAGTATTGGTGCATTTGCAGGCTCTGGTAACTAATCGAGTAGTAACTGCCAGAATCTGCCAGGAGCGGGAAAGATCAGGCAGAGGAGCTATCTGTGGAAAGTACGGGAAGCATTTCAGTTAGTGAAGCTGGAATTCCATGAGGTCACCACTTAATTCACAAACATTAAAGGAAATGTGGAATTTAGATGTCTTGATAGCTTACGGCAGAACAGGAGCTGCACTGAAACGAGGCGATCCTCATGAGATTTTGTTAACTATTTTTGAATGTTTTATTATGTATATGTGACTTACAAACAGTACAAATGTAAACGAAAATAACAGTTGACTGGGGGTGGGTGGGGGTGGAGGATAATTCCGTGCAGGCCACTAACCCTGACCCTCTTCTGCAACAGGCACAGTAACATCTTGGGTGGTCGTCTTTATCCTGCCTATCAACAGCGCATTAAATCCCATCCTCTACACCATCACCACCACCCCCTTCCAGGAGAAGCTCAAGCACTGCCTGCAGAGGAGCAGGCCCTCCCGCCCGGAGACCCGAGGAACAAGCTTTGCCCTCGTATTGACACACCCCAGCAGCACCTGGCTCTGTTCACCCTCCCCGTGAGACTCCTGCTCTGCCTCTTGGAACCTCCAGGGCTACAGGGGGGGCTCACAGCAAAGCACAGAGGCCCAAGAAGGATCAGCCCCCCATTCGGGGGAGTGCGAGCAAACAAAAGACCTGGTCAGAAATGATCCGGTGAGAACAGGCGCACCCTCGTCTTTTGAAAACAGGCACCACACTTGCGGGGGAAAGTGTCCAAGGAAGTGTCCAACGTGAAGCTATGGAGTGTAGGGGATTCGTTGGCAGGTTTGGCCTTGGCCTCGCTCAAAGTGGGGAGGCTCACGGGACGAAAGCCATCCTCTTCCTTCTCCATGCCCTTGCCTTGCTTGGCCGTTTCAGTAGGTTCAGTTACAATTTCAGGACATGTGTTGCTGAAGCGAGCACATTTTAGTAGGCGGATACATCTGGAATTTTTACTGACAGGCAAAGTAGACTTGATGGCATAGAGCTGAGAAGCATTTTTGTTGGGGGGAAAAAGGCTTAAAGGCTGTGTAGGGTAAGAGGGGCACCCAGGGTGGGCCAGAGCATGGGGAAAGGGGGCGGCTTTCCACTCCACTTGCCCTTGAGCTGCCATGGGAAACATGTCGCAATCTCACCTCCTCCAGCCCTAAATCTTATGTGGCATTTATGCCTGGTCTGCAGACAATGGATAATCTAATAATAATAATCTTTCAATTTATTAATTGCTCAATCCTGCAGAGCTGCTGGCTCTGAGCGATTCACAGCTACTCAAATACACACGGGACTAACAATGACTCAAAGGGGTAAGGGAGGACAACATATAAATCTTTAAATCACACACGTTCGCAGCTGATGGGGAGTTTGTTCAGCAGTAAGGTCAGACATATTCCAACGGCATTTTTCCCTCGGCGTGGCTTGATGTTGTCAGCTTTCTCCAGGACTGCTTCAGTTGCAGTACAGCACTGCCACCGCCTGGCCGGACGGCCCATTACAGGCTTTCTTGATGCCAAAGAGTTCTTTCTAGGCTTTTCGATCTCACACGCTGGACCTTCTTTTTTTATTTATTTATTGACTCTCCTGAAAAGGAGAGAGTTTATTGCTTTTAATATCAGAAAAGGGGAAGGTATATAGCGGGACTAAGAAAAGGTTGAGTGATGCTCTTATTAGTATGTTAATCTTTTGTTAGTATTAAACAAATCTTCTTTTGGCTTCTTCTGTGAGTTGTCAATCGTCTTTCATCTTGACCTGTGAAAAACAAATATAAATGTTAATGTATTAGTAGTGTCCCTTTGGTTTATTGTTAGTAATGTCTTTTCATGCGCATTCCGAACCAGTCTTCATGTTCTGGGCTGCCTTCCTTTTATGTCTCTCAAGTTGTAAGATGGACCTTTCCCCGCTCCTTGATCTTCCGGAGTCTTGTCCTCCCTCTCTGAGCCGCTATCTCGTTCACTGTCCAATTCTTCCCATCTGGCAAGTGCTGCCTCCTCTGAGCTGGCGTGTCTCTTCAAAAAGTCTTGAGCTTTGAAAATGGAGTCAATCTTCTCCCTTTTATCTTTAATCTTGATGATAAGTCCTTCTGGAATCATACGGTGTCATGTTCTTATCCAAGATTACTTGCCTGGCAAAACTACAACAAAGTTTATTGACATTTTGTTTTGTTCTCTAACCATTTATTTTAATTAAAATGTGACATATGAAACAGGAACATGGAGACAATATGAAGATAAAATTCCATGCAGTAACATTATGGGTCAGGTAGAGTTGATTTTGGCATCTTTTAATTGTCTGCCTGTTCATTTTACAAAACTTATATCCTACTTTTCATCTGAAGTTTCCAAAGCAAATATGAAATGAAGTTGTTTTTTTAAAATGGCATATTCAAAAACAGCTTCAAACATCAAAAAATCTATGTTAATATAAAAATGTGAAGACATAGAAATAGTTACAAGAACTACTGTGACTAAAATGTGCACCTCCTGTGCATACATACTAAACGTTTATGCTTTTACAGTTGTGAGAAAGCTGGGGCCTTGAGTCCAAGGAGATAAGGTAGGAATGTTTTAAATGAATAAATAACACATGGACAATCAGTGGTAAAATAACATACACATTATGTACAGCAGCAAAATCCAGCTAATATAATAGACATGTTCCTTAGATTGCAAAGGACAGTTTTAGCCGAATATCTTCCGTTCAATTGCTTTTCCGCTTCATCACTTGGTGACGTCCGGCGGCTCTGCTAGTCCCCGTGCGGGGCACTGCCGCGGCAAGGGCCATTGGGGCATGGGGCGAGCCTCAATTTCTGACCTTCGGGCCGGGAAAGAGGCACATCCCCTGAGTGCCCCGGATCGGAGCCTCTCACTGAGGCTCCTTAGGGTCTCCGCTTGTGCGGATTCCCCCCTTGGCCGTCACACGCTGGATCTTCTGTTCGCCAGCTAACACCTCCCCCACCGGGGGTTTTAGTGTGCCCACCCTCTCTAAGGAGTGGTACCCATATTATCTACTTGCCGAAGTTTTCGAACCGCTGGGTGGACGGCAAGCTGGGGACAAGGCTGGTAGCTCACACCAGCACGGGCTAACGGGGCTAGAACTGACAGTAGTTCTGTTCAGCTCAGATGTTTTAACCAGAGGAAAAATCCCCTGTGCCACCGCTCCCATGATGTGGGATGTGGCTCTTAAACATCCCAGTCCATTTGCCTGAACACGCTGGGGCAGTTGGTGGTTCACACTTCTTTTGCTGCTTGAAATGCAGTTTGTGTGCTAAAAGCAATGATTGTGTATAAAACATGAAGCGGCTCGTTGTGCGTGTGGCATTCAGAACCTGATCCCCGGAGATCACAGGTCACAAAGGGAAAGCAGCACCCCGAGCATGATGTGGCTGCCTCTTCTGCGTTATGGACCCAGCCGTTTGCCTGGTTTCTCTCAGGGCACCACCGCCCAAGGGTCCTTCCCCCTTTTACCCTCAAGACAATCTAGGGTGCCGGATCTCTCTCTCTCTCTCTCACACACACACAGAGGCAAGGAAGGCGAGCCTCACAGCTGAGGTCTCCCTGCTCCCTGCCTGCGAGTGAGGCAGACTCCGCTGTAGGGGAGAAGCCCAGACAGACACCCTTCAGGGGAACTAAAGGGCTGAGGGGAGGGGGGAGGAGAGGGCCACTGGAGAAAGAAAGGACTGTGTCTTCAAAGGGGAACAGAAGCAGGACCCCTGTCAGAAATGGGGCTGGGGGGCGGCAGAGCTGAGGGACACAACTTGGGCAAAAGCCGCGTGAGCATCTGCAGCAGAGTCTGGCCAGCTGCTGAGAGAGCTCTCTTCCGCTGGAGTTTCTGGTTCTTCGAGGGTAGGGAAGCCAGTCACTGGGGGAGTAGCTCCAGCGTGGCTTCTTTGCCCTCACGGAACCAGGCAGGCCAGCCAAACGGCCGTGACCGAACAGCTGGCTGGACTCCCCTCTTCCACGGCTTGCTTGGGCGGCCAGCCCACTGGGTCTGGCGCTTCAAAGGCGACCCCCAGGTCTGAGACAAACTCACACTTTGCAGGCCGAGGATCACAACTTTGGTCCTTTTCAGGGTTATAACCACAGTTCAACAAGCACACCAGCTATTAATGACCAGACCAGAAGGTGTATTAGTACTTATTTATTATACACACAGAGATAAGAGGAACTTCTCAAACTGTGTTGCTCAGTGGTGACTGTTTATGGTACAAAAAAATTTCCTTAAATACAAAATACACATCTCTTTCTCTCCTGGCCAAATACATTCCATCCACTCATACACCTGGGTTATATATTAAATTAATATTCCATTTGTACAGTATTTATAGAGATATAAATCACATATATTGATTAGAAAAAAATGAGTTCCCAAAAGACAGCGGAAATACAAAAAACCTCACAAACTCAAAAGGACTTTGTACTAAAATTTGACAAAGGGCCGTTCATTCATTCATTCATTCATTCATTCATCCATCCATCCATCCATCCATCTGTGATTTCCTGGCACTCAAGAGGCCAAAAGGGCTGCTTCTGCCCTGCCCTGCTCTGTGGTTTGGGCTGATCCTGCGCTGAGTGGGGGGGGGGGGGTTTGGACCCCCCATGGACCCTTCCAAGTCCGTGATTCTAGGATTCTTTTAGAGTGTTAATATGAAGGTAGCCCAAGCAAAAGGCAGTGATACCCTCCACTACTAGATTAAGAGGCAGAAGTTCAGGAGATGGCTGAGACCAAAGCATGAAGGCTCGCACTGTAAGGCTCGGCATGGTGGTGGAACTCTGTTATCAGGAGCCTCATGCCAGAAAACCAAAAGACGTGGGAGGGGTCTGAATCCCACAACATTAATGAGTGATTTCTCATTGATTTTGAAATACATCCAAGGAGACTCCCATGACGTGGGGATTCAGGGGCTTGCCCTTCAGTGGTTTGCCTCTTTTCTCCAAGGTCAGGGACAAAGGGTGGCGATAGGGGATCAGCAGTCCCAGAGGTGGCCTCTTGAATGCGGGGTGCCTCAGGGGGCAGTGCTGTCCCCGATGTTGTTTAACATCTTCATGCGCCCCCTTGCCCAGATCGCCCGGAGTTGTGGCCTTGGGTGTCATCAATATGCAGATGACACCCAGCTCTATCTGATGTTGGGCGGCCAGTCGGACTCCACCCCAGATGACCTTCATCGGGCGTTACAGGCCGTGGCTGGTTGGTTCAGACTGAGTCGGCTGAAACTAAACCTGGCAAAGACGGAGGTCCTGGGTCTGAGTCGGATAAGTTCAGGGTTGGGGCTCCCAACCTTCGATGGGGCGCCTTTGGTGCCAGTGTCAGAGGTTAGGAGTCTGGGTGTGCTCCTGGACTCCTATTTAACGATGGAGGCCCAGGTGGCAGCCACTGCCAAGTCGGCCTTTTACCATCTTCGGCTGGCACGGTAGCTGGTCCCTTTCCTCGACCGTGATGACCTGGCCACGGTGATCCATGCAATGGTCACCTCGAGGTTAGACTACTGTAACGCTCTCTACACGGGGCTGCCTTTGTCGCAAATTTGGAAGCTGCAGCTAGTGCAGAATGCTGCAGCCAGGCTGTTGATGGGTCTCCCTAGACGGGATCACATCCGGCCTGTGCTGAAAGCGCTGCACTGGCTGCCAATGGCATACTGGATTCGCTTCAAAGTGCTGGTTCTTACCTTTAAAGCCCTATATGGCCAGGGTCCGGCTTACCTAAGGGACCGCCTTTCCTGGCATGTTCCCCCAAGGGCACTACGGTCGGGGAATCAAAATCTCCTGGACATTCCAAGCCCCAGGAACATCAAATTTGCTGTCACCAGGGCCAGGGCGTTTTTGGTGGCGGCTCCTACCTGGTGGGCCTTGCGGGACCTTGTGCAGTTTCGCAGGGCCTGTAAAATGGAGCTCTCCCGCCAGGCTTTTGAGTAGGAGCTGCTGCCACCACTATTCCATCACCGCTTCCTCCGTCTCCGCACTTTGGCCACCGGTTGAGCGGGTATTATCGGGGGTGTGAGACGTTCCTGGTGGATGACAGTGCTGCTGGGACGTATACTATTGTTCTGGTATAAATAACTCCAGAACCCCATCTTGGAATTCACAATTTAAGTGACTTTTTGGAGCACCGATATTTTAGTGAATTGTATCATACTGTATTTTATACTGTTCTTTATATTGTTTTATTGTTTTAACCTTGGCATTTATGCCTCCTTGTGAGCCGTCCTGAGCCTTTGGGGAGGGCGGGATATAAATCCAAAAATAAATAAAAAAACAAAAACAAAAAATGAGCAGGCGAATCTCTTTAAGCTGAAGAGCCTGGGAACACTTGGCATTATCAGCCAGCAGTCAAGGATAATACAATATTGAACATGTTTCTGGCTTTTACACCCAAACGTGGTCATCTCAGTCCCCCCCCCCCCAATTTATATGTGCTGCAATACGGAGAGACTGGTGTCTCTCTCTCACACACACACACGTACACAGTAACACCACCTTCATATACTTGAACTTCACCTACCAACCAACCTGCCTCCCCTTCCCTAAAACACCTCCTCCAAACTCACAGGTCCTGTGATGGCTCCCCCCCCCCCCCCTGCCCCCCTTTGCTAACCCAGGACCTCCTTCA